ATATCCATCAGCATCAGATGAATCAAGTGCAGTCCAACTGACAGTGATAGTGGTAGTTGTCTTGTTGACCTCAGTAAGAGAAGAGGGAGCAGTTGCTGGTACTAAAACATAATACTAAAAATGTGAATCATCAATAGACAATACCTTTTATGGCTAAAGCAAGTGTTCTATCAGCACCACTAAGATTATCCAGTACACACTGATACATTTGATCTCCAGTGGTTGATTGATTGATTGATCCACTACTGACATTCATTCCATCCCATGTGATATCAACAGTATATCTTACTGTGTGAGTACTACTAACTAACACTGTACCAGGACAAGGATTATGATTAACTCCATCTTCACAATTAGTGTAACTAGCCAGTGCAGTACTACTAATGCTCATACTAATATCATAGCGATTGTGTCCAATTTTAATACAATTCAGTTTGTATTCCTGAGGATATACTCTCATATCAGAAGGAAGATCAACAACAGTAAATGATTCTATCTCTGCATATCCTACAAATGAAAATTATTACATCAGTAAGTGATTATTGTCTCCTCTTACTGAATATATTAGCAAAGATGATGTTAGTGTTAGGATCTGAACAATCAGTGGGTAGACAACACTTGTACCAGCCTTCTGTAGTTCTTGTTAGTCCCTGAGCAAGATACAGACTGACGTTAGCAGGTGAAGTGACAGAAGTACAAAGAAAAGGATCACTGGCATTATTATTGTTACAGTCAACAGGATCATTAGGATCAGCAACTCTAACCCACTGACCAGTAGTTAGACTAGTACCAGGTAACACACACGATATAGCTTCAGTATCTAAATTGACACTATTATCCCAAAAATATGATCCATTAGGATAACAGGTCCCTTCATAAGATCTGGTCAGGTAGATACCTATAAAAACCTATACAGTTGTTATTATACACATCCAGTGTTTTACCTGAGGAAGGTGGACATTGACTAATAACTTCACTGACACTCAACAAGAAGACAGTAGTCAACAAGAGTGGCATTTTGAATTAGTCGATAACTTTCCACTACTGTACTTAACTTAAATAGTCTAGTGATACTTTTAATTAGTCTAATTGTGTCACATGACTTCAAAATTGAAAAAGTATTCATATCTAATTTGCGTAAGTCAACAAGCAGAAATTATAAAATAAATTATTTATTTCATTATTATGATTATAGTCAATTTTTTGTGGTGCATAATAAAACAAAAGTTGTAGTAATTGTGTGCCATGATAGCATTCATAAAAATTACGCTTTATGATTATATAAAATAGATTTATATCTTTATGTGCAAACTCTACAAATATAAAATTGAACATACCATTAAATTGCATTGCAATATTTGTGGTAATTTCTGGTTGCAGAAAAAATTGCAAATATTAGCAGCCATGAATATATCACACATTAAATATTTACCGTAGTATAAAAGTAATAAAGATGTCAAAGTGTTTTTGTTATGCTATAGTCAGATTTAGGTGGTATGACTTTCTAACATAACAAAACAATGAAAGTTGAGAATTTACAAGCACAATAGAAGAATGCAAACTTTTCACAATAGTAATACAAACCATTTCCATTGTTTACATGAACTGAAAATAGTAACAATTAATAAATATTGATAACAATTTGAATGTGCACCAAAAACACTCAATGTTATATAGGTTCATTTGTTTGAAAGGTATTAACCATAGTTAAAATACAAAACTGCTACTAAAAGTTAATGAATATCACAATTATATCCTACCACACATATATCTCTACAAACAACACTGTTTTAAAATGAGAAGTTTCCATACATGCTGTTTATCTGAAGATACATGTCAATCACATCATATATGGAAGTATACTGCTCCTGTAAAGACATAATATCATTAATACACTAGTACCCACTCATATATCTAGTATATACCAGTGTAGTCACAGCTCCTGGTTTACTCCTTCTCACAGCTTTAGTCACTTGAAACACATCCACTACACCTTCTGCCTTACACTGTTCTAGACCAATACTCACTGAACAATACACTCCTGAACGACTCACTGTATCACTACACAAACACACAATAATCAATTACTCATCATTAGTCTATCAGTATAACTCTCTCTCTTACCTACAGTGTACCACTACTGGTCCTCCTCCAATCTTTTGTTGTCTGTGTATAACATCATCAATAACTTGTAGGACAGTACGTGGTTCCCTAACAACTCCATCTTGAGGCCAATCTGTCACTTGTAATTGTATCACATCC